CATGTGTTTATCGGCCAGCTTGGCACAAAAACCTTTAACTATCTCAGCACCAAACAACAAAAATAACAACCACTGACAAACCAGCGAGGGTCCTGGTGGAGCCAAGTGGACCTGGAACCTAACCATCACACTTGGAGAGCAGTGGGGTGAGCCTGCTGGACCCTTTTTAGTACGTACCTGCATCCGAGCTCCTCTCTGGGAGCCTCAGCTGAATCTCTGTGTGGAACCTCGCCGTCTCCTGGGGACTCCGAGGAAGTGTGGGCCGAGCCACAGGGCCCCACGGGGCATGTGACTCCACAGGAATGGCTCTCAGGGGCCCTAGCTGTCAGACAACGCAGGGACAGGGTGAGGAGATGCCGCCCTCTGTGGAGTGCAGCCCAGTCCTGGGGCACAGGTGAATTGGAGGAGCTAGGGTGTGCTGCTGAGAAAGGGCCTGGGGAGGCACAAGGCTGAGCCCATGTCTCTTCCAGAATGGGGCAACCCGGCCCCGTGCAGTCTCCATCAGGGTGGGTCTGAACGCTATTTCTGGAATTAATGTGCTTCTAGGAACATTGACCCTGGAGATGTTTGCAGATGCGTGTGCTGTGACTCTTCTGTAATGCTCAGGAACTGCGCCTCACCCTCGTGGCCGGCTGTGCTCGGCCTGAGGCCATAGATTTTTCTTTCTGTTCGGAACCTGTGTATGTGCGTGCCTGTGTGTGCGTGCATGTATATATAGGTGTGCTTGCATATGTGTGTGTATATAAGTGTGCATGTGTGTATATGTATGCGTGTGTATTTGTGTGTGTGTGCATGGGTGTGTTTGTGGTAAAATACATGTCACCACACTTGGCAGCTTCTACCCGAATGCCCATTCCACTCACACAGGGGCTGGACCCAGAGCGCGCTTCTCTGGCAGCCACGCGCGGCTGTGTGGCGCAGGGACACCGTGGAGTGGAGGAGCAGGCTCTGGAACACCAAGTGACACTTCACTTCCCCCTCCCCAAACTGAAGCACACTGAGCCCCAGGACACACTCATGCCCTGGTTTCAGGCCGGGCTCTGAGCCGCAGGGTGGGAGGTTCTAATCCCCAGCTGCTCTGTGCTCCCGTGGAGCTTCAGTCTCGGGAACGTGCAGGCCGGTCTCGCCTGTGCTGTGGGGTTGCTGTAGGTCAGACTCTGCTTTGCGGCAGCGAGTGTGGACTGAGGACAGACGGTGACTGCTCCTCCCAGAGCCACAGCCAGAACCCTCGAGTATGGACACGCCCTCCCTCCAGCGGGATGTGGGCCCGGAGCCCAAGGGAAGGTGGATTCCCCGAGGAGCCCGGTGGGGGCCTGTGGGAAGAAGATGAGCAGCTTTGGGGAGCAAGGCCCAGGCCCAAGAGCCTAGATGCCTCTCTGCATCTCAGGAGGTAAAGCCGCCCCTCACGCAGCTCCAAACCAGCCTAGGATCCAGGTGTGGAGCAACTGGCAAGCCCACGCACTGCCACCAGACTCAGAGGTCGTCCTCCTCCGTCCCTGGGCCCCGAAACACTGGACGAGAAGTCCTGGAGGCATGGTGGCTACCAGTTGGTCTGCTAACCGTAAGGCCAGCCGTTTGAAACCACCAGCCGGTCTGTGGAGGGTGAAGAGGCTTTCTGCTCCTGCAGAGAGTCCACAGTCTTGGGAACCCGCGGCAGTGCTACGCCGTGCTGCAGGGCCTCGTGGCCAGCCTCAACGTGATGGCAGGGCTGTGAATCTGGCTTTGTGTCTGAGCTCATCCGGACGTATGTTTCTTCCCAACAACGTGTGTTTGAACAGGTGCCCCTGTGCAGACAACTTATCTCTGTCATGCCCGTGGCTCAGTCTCCTAGGGGCCGTCAAGACCAAGGTCCACTCAAGCCAGGGCTCCTGAGGGGGATCTGCTGGGGCAGAGGTCAGCACAGAAAGCTGTAAGAGCTGTGTTGGGGGACTCCCCAGGGGCCCATCCTGGTGGGTTTTTCTCAAAGGGCACGAGCCGATGGCGCAGACTTATTAGGAAGACATTTCAAGAGCACGCAGTCACATTCATGAGGGAAAGGTCAGAGGTCTGCACCCAGCAGTCTTCCCACCAGGGTGCAGCTGCTCCTTTTTCAGGGTTGGGCTGGGGGTCCTGAGAGGGTTTCTTTAGGAAACTTTGCCCCACCTTCCCTGTGACCCGGCTCCCATTCCTGCAGAAGATTCTTATTCCATAGGTTTTACACACACACACACACACACACACCCCTTTTCAAGGGACATAACTGCCGTTCTCTGTGCACCCCAAAACTGCTGCTGTGATCTGATGTTACATTCAAGAGTGTAGCCTTTCCTGGGGAGGGCTTAGTGGGATGGAATGCCCCCTTCAGAAGTGTAGGGACCTGGATGGAGTGTGTGTGTGTGTGTGTGTGTGTGTGTGTGTGTGTGAGAGAGAGAGAGAGAGAGAGAGAGAGAGAGAGGAAACAATAGATCCACACTGATGATATCCTTTCATGACAGTCTCCCATTTCCTGGACCCCTGGGCTACCCATTGAGCGGCCAACCACAAGGTCAGACGCTCAAACCCACCCTTTGCTCCAAGGAAGAAAGAGGAGGCTGCCTGTTCCTCTCGGCGAGTTCCAGAAAGCCCACAGGGTGGTCTTCTTCTCTCCCACAGTGTCGCTGTGAGTCGGAACCCACATGCTGGCAGTGAGGGAGTGGTGGCTGCTTATCTCCAACCATTGCCTTTGGATTTGGTGCTTACATGCATTACCCACAATCCTCAGCCAGGCAGAGACCACCTCAATGGCTCCAGGCAGATGGAAGCCCCAGCCCCACCCGCCCACCCTGTGGCCTCCACCAGAGGAAAACAGTGATGCTGGGCGTTCACATTTGGTTACAAGCACCAAATGGCTCTGCAAAGCTCCATCTGTGTGCTCACGTCTGGACGGGACGGCCCCCAGTCTGCCTGCGTGCTCACCGGGAGGCGGGATGCATCACGGGCAGTTGGGACTCAGCAGGACAGGACAGAAACCTGATGCCACCAGGTTTCTCTCCAGTGGGGTGAGCAAGGTGCTCTAAGCATGGCTCCAGCAAACAGAGCAGGTATCATCTCCGTGGTCTGGGAAGAGACCCCGCAGCGTCTCGGATGTCACTGCGGGGGTGCACAGGCTTCCCCCAGGAGCGTCCACCCTCAGACAGACCTGGGATCAACACCGGCCATTGCCTCTTCACCACAGTGAAGCCCCCTGAGAGCCTTGTCCGGGAGCATCTGTCTGCACACAGAGGCCCCGGACAAAAGGCTCTCCGTGGCGTCAGCGATTGTGGAGATGGACAGACCTGGGACACTTCCCTCTGCTGACACGGGCAGGATGACGGCCGTGATGACGGCAAGAGTCCCGAGATGGGCGGCCAGCCAACCGCGGTCAGACGTGACTTTCCCAGGGACTCGGTCCCTAGCCCACCTGTTCCACGAAAGTGTGTGTCCTGGTGGCCTGACGGAAGTTAAGACACATGCCGCCCCGGCCTCCAGTACCTGTTTTATTTTGAGATCATACGAGGCTGCTATGCAGTTGTCAGAAGTAACACAAAAGGTTCTGGGGCCCGTGTCTCAGTTTCCCCCCACCCCCAGGGAAGCATCTTGCAAAACTACAGTGTAGCATCCAGTCAGAAGAAAAGCCAGCCTAGCTCGGAGGTCCTCAAACATCTTTGACCTTTTGCTTCTTAAAAAAAAACCCCACAACGGCCCTGGCGTTGAAACACCGTTGGCTCTGCAAACTACAATCTAGGATGGAGTGTAGGTACCGACTTTTGTCCTGGTGACTCAGTGGTTACTGTTGGGCTGCAATCCGCATGGTGGGCAGTTCCCAACCACCAGCAGCAGCTCCGAGGGAGAAAGACCAGGCACTCCCCTCCTGTCGACAGTAACCATGACCGTCCCACAGGGGCTGCTGTGAGCCAGCATGGACTCGATGGCAGAGAGAGAGAGGTCAAGGTCTGCAGGTCCTCCCCCTACCGCACCCCCACCCCCACCCCATCATCCCAGCCCACCACTGAATTCCAACCCTCTGAGAAAGTAGGAAATCCACACACTTGCCTTAGGCGGGATGGCCTCACTGTGGGATTTGCTGTGTTTGTGTACAGAGTGTTGTTCCCAGGTGAGGTGGACCCAGTAACCCATCGGTCACCCAGGAGCCCCCAGGGGTGGGTCGGCATCCTCTCTCAGGGACAACACCTGCCCCGAGGGAGCAGCAGCCTCACGCTTTGCTTCAGCTTAGCGTTTCCGAGGAGCAAGATGATGGAATGTGCCGAGGGGTAGGTCCCAGCGATCAGGGTGTGGAACAGAACGACCAGGCTCCCGGCCTGGACCCTCCCAGAGGAAAGCAGGCTGCCAACCATGTAGTAGGACAGGTAGAGGACCAGGAAGGACAGGGTGGACAGCAGGGCCTTGGCGATGGCCCGCCGGCTTGGGTGCCCAGCTCCGGCTGCCATGCGTCCCATTTGCCGGGCATGCCTCCCCAGGGAGACCATCAGGAGCAGGACAGCAGCCAGGAAGATCCACAGCGGTGGCCAGAGCCCCATGATGACAAAAGTGTATGAGAGAAACGAGGGCTCCGTGTACACCGTGGTGGCATTCTGGGAGAAATAGTGGCACAGAATAGTTTTGGAAAGGGGCCACGTGTATTCCAGGTGGCCGGCGCACAGGATGAGGACATAGAGCAGGGTCGCCAGGATGCCCCAGGGGACCAGCGTGGAGATCTTCCTCTTCAGCCAGAGGAAAAGCGGGTGAGCGATGTTGGCTACCTTGACACAGTAGAAGACGCCGAGCCAGGTGGCCAGCCAGAGTCCTATCTCGTTGGTGGCCATGCACAGGACAAACTGGCCTCTGGACACCGACGGTTCCACGAAGGACAGATACATCAGAATGAAGTAGAAAACCAGCAGCTGCATGAGGACCCGGGACACGGCCAGGCAGGAGAGCAGGAGATCCAGGGAGGTGTACACTCTCCTCTTGACCCAGTCCCTGCTCGCCCCAAAGACGACGAGGCTGTTGGCCAAGACCCCAGTCAGCAGCTGGAGCACGGAAAACAGAAAGTAGGCGAGGCGAGCACCCAGCATTTTAGCCAGAAACCACGGATGCTGTATCAGGGCAGGCTGGATGATCCGAGGGGTCTCCTATGTCCCAAGGGGATGATGGCTTCCCAGAGGGTGGGAGGGTGAGGGTGTTGTCTATGTGTGACTGTCTCTGCTTGGCTCCGGGGCAGGCAAATAAGAAAGGGATACTCCAGAGACGATTTGTTTCTGGGCAAGGGGTTTTGCATTTCCCACATCTGCTAGCTTTCTGCGCCATCACAAGCAAATCAAGGGCCTTGGCACCCGCCGGTTGGGCCACGGCTGTCTGCAGAAGCTCATGAGGCCCCTCATGTCTGCCCTGAGGGGCTGAGTGTGGCTGTGCTGTGCTGCTCCTGAACACCTGTGCCCACTGGGAGGAAGTGCTGCCTGATCTATGTGCCCCCATTGCCGGGCTGTGAATCTGACCACTGTCAGCCATAGGGGTCTCAAGGGGGTCATGGCCACGAGAGCGCCAGGTCTTCTTGGCCAATCTGCCCAAGTCTGGAAGCATGACAACAGCTAGCCAGCCTGTCAGCAACACAGACGCCTCCATGGACAGGCGACTGATGGGGGCCATGCGTGAGGAGCCAGGTCTCCCTCACGGAAGGAGGGAGCCCGCGCTGTGCCCAGGAAGTGTGCACCAAGTAGGGATGGTCTACGAGACCCCGGCAGAACCAAGTCTCTCCAGCTTGGCCCGGCTCCTACACAAGCCCAGGATTTTCCTCCCGTTTCTCTTCCCACAATGACAATGAAGGAGTGAGTGTGTCCAGGCTGTGTGCCCGCCTTCCCGCAGCAGACCGGGAACAAGAGGTGCCCAGCCTGGGGGAGCAGAGCAGAGAGCAGGGCACCGACCAGCTCCTAGAGGAGCCAGCTCCCTTTGTGCAGAAGTGGCTCATGCAAGCGACCGTCGAGGCATGGGAGGACCTGTTGCCTCAGGCAAATCTGCCGCACAAGACCTGTTTATCCAAGTGTTAAAGAGCAAAGAGGTCGCTTTGGAGACTATGGTGATCCTGACCCAAGCTGTGGTTCTTTCCGTGGAAAAGCCGGACAGTGAGCATGGAAGACCACAAAAGCGCCGATGCGTTCGGAGTAAGGTGTTGCCACAGAATGCCGGACACGCCGTGGCCCGCTAGAGCCACGGAGGAAGCACAGCCTGTGTGCCCCCGGGAAGCACAGACGGGGAGACTGGGGCCACAGACATCGGTCAGGCGAAGGCCCCGGAGGGGCCGGCCTGGGAAGAAGGGTGTCAACGTTGGTAAAGTAAGGGGTCAGGAAAACAGAGGAAGACCCCTGACCAGGTGGCTCGATGCCGTGGCTGCAACAAAGGGCCTAAGAGTAACAAAAATTGTGGGACGGCACAGGACCGTGCGGTGTTTCTTTCTGTCGTATGGGGAGTCACCCTCCTGACAGTAAGGCGACGGTGGAAACCGTGGAGGGAACGGGTCTAGCTGCGTGAGCAGTTTCCTTGGCCTTGGTTTCATTCTGTTTCTCGAAATGCGTCGCATCTGCGGAAGGGGGCGGAGTGCTCTACTACCTTCCTCTGGTTTCCACTTGAGCGAGGCCGGGGAGCGGGCAGGCAAGCCCTCAGGGGGCTTTGGAGGGAGGCACGCCACGCACCACAAACTAGATAGAAACCCGAGGGTGGCCGCTCTGAGAGCCCTGCTCCTGTCTGGTGCAGAAGCCGCCCAGTCACCCGAGACCCAGGCTGCAAGAGCAAACAGGGAAGGCAAGCCGCCCATGAAGCAGTGAAGCCAAGATCTCTCGGAAGACCACTACACACGACAGCCTCAGGTTCTCTGCCAACCTCCTACCACAGTACCCGCCAGTGTGGTGGTCAAGGTCAGGACCCTGCCCAGGCCTGTGGGGGTATCTCTCAGAGGACAGGAGCTGGGCCTGCTTCTCCACCCCTGCCATTTGTTCACTCACTCTTCATGCGTCCATTCAGGCATGCATGCGTACCTGCACACATACCTACCCATCGTCTACCCATGTACCAGTCTGCCCAGCCACCAATCTATCCACCCATCTGTCCATGTCACTCTCAGCCAGCCATCCGCCCATCCAGGAGGTGGGAGGTGCTTGTACTAGGCCCACCCTCGGTTGGTTACATAAGGCTTTCCTAGCAGAGGGAGAAGATGCCATTGCTGTGAAGTCCCTTGGGAGGAGACTGTTTGTTTTCTCTGGCTCACCAACTAGCACCTCATCTCCCTCTGCTGCAATGTCACCATGACCTTGAGTCCCCAACAGGCTGCTTCCACTTCCATCTTGTACAATGTAATGAATGGGGCCCTCTGTCCCCCTTCAGGTGTGGGAATGAGCTCACACCAGGCCCCATTCCCAGCCAAATGACAGGCCCAGAAAGGAGTGGTACCACCAGGGAGGCACACCCCCCCTCAAAGAGCCACCACCCAATACCAGAAGGGCAGCGTTTCCCCAAAGTTCAGCTGGTGAAGTGGGAGGGAGAGGGGAACTAGACAGGAGGAGCACAGAGAGGGGCGGTAAGCAGTGTCATATGTGGGGCCTTCGGTCAACAATGTGGGACAACACACGAATGCATTGCTGAGTGGAAAGCGGATCTGCTCGGCAAACTCTCACCCACTTACAACAGGTGACCGCTGAGGAAGGGGTGTTGTGGATTATGTTCCCAAAGACATGTGGAAGCCCTAACCTCAGAGCCCGTGAGCCTCACCTGGCTTGGAAATCGGATCATGAAGATGGGGGCCAATCGGATCTTTGAGGATGGACAGGCTCAAGCAGCAGTAAGGGGTGGGGGGCCTGATCCCACCAGTGGTGCCCAAGGCGAAGGGGCAAAGAGACTCAGAGATGGGGACATGGAGGAAGACCACCCTGTGACCCTGCAGGCAAGACCCGTAGGAGCACCAGAAGTGGGGAGAGGGTCAGGGACCTATCCTCCCTCAGAGCTTCAGACCTCAGACAGCCATCCAGTGTCTGGGGTTGCACACTCTGACCTGGGACCCCCCACGGACTCCACCATCACACCGGAGGCTCCACAGAAACCCCTGTGCCTGTCCCAGCGGTGGGCATGCTGTTGATCGATCAGATTCTCGCATCTCGAGGGGCTCTTAACTCTCAGAGATCAATGAGAATGTTTGTGAGAACTGGCCGGGAGTCCCGGGCCGTGCTTCACATAGCGCCTGGTCTCATGTGCAACATGGCAGCAGACTCCAGACTCCCCGGAGAGAAAAAAGAAGACCCGGAGTTTAAGCTCCATTGCATCTGGCATTAAATAATT